AGGTTACTCCTGGGTCTAGGTTTAGGGTCTATGGGGTTCGGCGTGGTTTAGGGTTAAGGGGTAGTCGCTGCATTTGGGGAAGTAGAGCAGCAGCTATGGCCTGGTAGTTTAGGGTTTAGGGTTTAGGGTTTAGTAGATCTCATGGCATCCGAAGTCTCTCTGAACACACCATCCCCATCACTGTGATGAATAACTAGTGGTGATGTCGCAGCGCGCCTAAGGAATACGATAGACAGATGTCTCCCAAAACCCGATTCTAGTTACTCAGGTGCCTATCAACACTCTGACTCGAATCCCAAGTTTTGTTTTGCTGTTGAAGAGTTTCGTAAAGTAAGGCCCCAGCTAGAACACCCTCGGCCGTAGGATGCTGATTAGAACGATCCCCGTAAAGGAGCCTCTACTTGATAACTAAACTCAGTAGCTGAGTGGATACACTTTAAACTTTTTGGGATAACATTACCTACTATAAAACTGAAAGTGTACACTTTTCTGGGCTTATGAACTCAGCAACTAACTGAACTTGTATGTTTTCTCAAGAAGGACTTCCGAATTGCTGAGCCCTGCTAACCCGAAGGGTCCTGTCTAAAACGTGTCTGCATAGCACGTGGTAGGGCTTCTAGAAAGGAGGTTCATTCCTAACTTGCACCCAACAAGAAGTACTTAGGACCTAAACCTTACTGTAACCCCCAAGCCCTAAACTCTAAACCCTAGATCCTAACCTTACAGCCCCAAGCCCTGAACCCAAAATCCTGAGACCCAACCCTAAAACCTTGAACGAAACCCTAAACCCCCTTGCAGCCCCAAGCCCTGAACCCAAAACCCTGAGACCCAACCCTAAAGCCTTGAAAAAAAAAAAACGAACCCCAGTAGCTTTTGGAAAAGCTAACGCAACCCGAGGCTTCCTCGACATGTTTGTTGTCATCACTTCCCTTTGGGAAGTCGTCACGGACATCATTCTGGCTGTGCAGGAGGACGCCAGGTTTCAGGTATAGGGTTTAGGGTTTAGGGTTTAGGGTTGAGGTTAAGGGTTTGGGATTTAGGGTTCAGCTGTAGGTTTATATAGGATGTATTCAGGGTTGAGGAATAGGATTTTGCATGAAGGTCTTGTCTTTAGGACTTCTAGAGGACGCGCCGGACCCAATCCCCGACCACGATGTTGAGGCTTTAGGGTTCGGTTTAGGGTTTTAGGATTTAGGGTTTAGGGAAACCGCCGTAAAGCCAAAACACCCAAGCTGCTCTAAGCCGCAATCCGATACGTCTGATCCTCAAACCTCTGCAGTGCTGCATGGAACAACTCGGTGGTTTCAGGAGTTGCTTTACACCATCGGCCATGCGATGTCCTTACCCGCACATTTCCTACGTAGTATGATCATGACTGTTGTTATTACTAGTAGTATTTCCACTATTACCATTATCAGTACTATTGTCATTACGATTCGCATTATTATGGTTTTCTTATCGTTATTGATGCTATTCTGCTTGTTATCACCGTATCATTATTACGGTTGCCGTTATTGTTATTGTCTTATTATTGTTTTTCCCTAAACCCTAAACCCT